CTTTCATTCTTGGTGATGGTTGTGGTGCTGGCAATGGTGAACGTGGGCTTCCGGTACTTCCCTTACAAAATACGAGTCTATATTAATTTAATAAAAGAAGTCCCCAGTTTTATCCTGGCACATGGTGAGGAGGGAGGTCTCTAGCTCCTAAAAGGCTGGTTTATGGATGTCTCTGCCCTGTCCAAATTGGGCGGGGATAAGCAGAGATAATAAAAGGAGTCATTTACATCAGAATCTCCAAAGCCAGGTTCTTCTCTGAAATGTAGGTAAGCACATACATTTCACATGATGTGTAAAGAAAAGCAAAATGCATAGCAGCAGTGAAAGGGTTTCTTAAAAGACTCAAAACAATTCATGCAAATGGTTGACCCCCACCCCACCCCCCGCTTCCACCTGGAGGGTGGGCAGAGGTGAGGTAACAAGCCGGAGGGAAGCCCAGATGTGATGCACCTGCTTTGTGTATAAATATAGGCTGGGTTTTATTTTTTTGTGGACAGTGCCTGGGAGGTAGTCAGCCTCATCTCATCTGTAATTTTTTTTTTCTTAAGACAATTTTAATTAAAAAGTAAGATCTTCTCCATGTTTAAAAAAAAAATAAAGAAAAGAATGCACTCCAAATTCAATTCGATTAGTTTAGACCACTATCTCGGTCCCGTTTTCCCACTCAGTACCCTGACAACCTCGATTATCTAGGCTGGTCCCCGAAGGCTGTTGCTCCTTCCTGGGAAGTGGCCTTTTTTCCTGCCAAAGAGAGCCCCACACACTCACGCACGTGCTCATGCACTCATGCACACACAAGCAAAAGCCCTTTCCCGCTGGTACAGTGTCCCCTCTCCAGTGTCCGATCCAGAGACGTCCTCTCTCAGAAACACAGAGGAGCTTATTGAAAAAGCAGATTCCCAGGCCCCATTAGTTTTCAGGACTCCTAGCGTTGAGAACCATTGTTTGTATGGGACGTCCCGCCTCTCAGTGAACTTCCAGGCTGTGTTCGTGGTGGCTCCTCCCTGCAGATCTGACCCTTATCAGGGCACGTGTGCACAGATACACAGGCACGGACCTGCGTGTGCACAGATCCATGCGTGTGCCCAACCTTTCTCTTGACAACCTGGGATTATTTTCCCACCATTAAAGTCAAGAATTAGGACTGAAAAGAATAGTCTCATGAGGGAAGAGATAAAACAGTCATTTTTGTTGGAAAATGAAAAAGGCTTTTTTTCTTTGTGGTTCTTTTTGTTTTTTATTGACTGCTGGAGAATACATGTGTGTGCATACACACATGTTACATACTATAAATTATACAGTAGGCATTATATATAGTCTGTGTTTGGGAGACTTGTATGTAAATTCACAAGGTGAGGACTTTTCTGAAGGATATGAAATTTGCATTGCACAATTAATTGCTCAGGATTCAACCCAATGCCTGAAAGTGGACCAAAGGCCAGGGTTTCTCATTGTTCTTTCTGCAGTCCTAACGGATATAGATTTGGGGTTGACCAGGAGCAGATGGCCCCTGGGCACTTTGGAAGCGCTTCCTAGGAGACCCTCATCTTACCGCATATGCTGTGTGCTAATTGCCCTCCTGGAAGGTTGGGGTTGGGGGACCAGAGGTGTGGCTCTGACTCTGTGGCCTGGAACATGCGGGCTACCTTCCTCACGGATATCTGGCCTGGAAAAGGGAATTCACCAACTCTCTCAAGGAGAAATTCTTTTCTGGGCAGCAAGGTGATATTGTGATGAAAGCACCAAGGATTCTTTTCAAACTAATGGCGCTGTTTCCTAAAGGGAACAAACGCTGAAGCCTGCATGGAGACTAAAACAAATAATAACAATGAGACTGGCTACCACTGTTGAAATACCCCGTCAGGCACTCTGTAAAACATCTGTATTTATGCTATGTACTATAAACACATAACTGTCTAAGTATGAGGAGACACATATAGATATATATGGCACTCAAAAAGTCTCTTAACCTCTCTGTGCTTCAGTTACCTCACCCACAAAATGCAGATAATAAACATCACCCTCCTCAAAGGGTTCTTGTGAGAAGGAGATGCATCCAGATGTGCGAAGCACTCAGCTTGCCATGTGGCATTTTTTCCTTTTTATTAATAAATCATTTCTATATCTGTATAATCTGTATATTTCATAGACTCAAATAATATATATTCCTTATCTGCATGATGCATACTGTGCAACATGATTGTACATACGGACCTATGCAGCTGTATACATCTAAAATAAACCTCTTTGTCATCACACATGGAGACCAAAAGCTTTTTAATATACAATATGTTCATTCTTATGTATTTGCATAACTACGATATATCCACTGGTGGACCATAAATACAGATGCTAATTCTCGTAGAGCACATAGATACTGACAGAGTAAGTGGTCAGCAAGTGGAACTTAATACTATTACTATTATTATTACTATCTCATTTAATCCTCACAAACTGGCAAGGTAGGTACAATCACTACCACTCCACTCACAGGCGAGCAGAAGCTCAAGCAAGCCGGGCGATGCCCATGGTATTCAG